GAGGCATGCGTGTTTCTTAAATACGGGCACTTAAAGTCTTGAAAAAATTTCTCACTGAACAACTAGGTTACTTTTACAGAACGACTGTTAAATGGGAATTGTACATTTACTTTGCAAAATTTGTGGTGATTTACGCTAGTGACCGCGACAGGTAGGTGTAAAGCAACAGCAATTCTTACAGCTAATGACCTGAGTAATTCAAGTCCGGTGCAAAAACGCATTATCGCACGGGTCCGCTCGGTGCGTTCCAGCCTGGGTTTGATTTTATTAGAGCATGCGGATAAATGCGCAGGGTGTGAAAGTATAATTCAGATAAAAAATTTTTTGCATTTTTAAAATATTGCTGAAGATTCACTGTTATTCATTGCAGGATGATGCTGCTGGTCTTGTGGCTGCGTCCATGATTGCTGTTGTGCCGGGTTACATATCTCGTTCGGTTGCTGGTTCTTATGATAATGAGGGTATTGCGATATTTTGCATGCTCTTCACTTATTATCTGTGGATTAAGGTGTGTCCCTTTCGTATTTCTTTTTTTTCTCGGACTCGTTTTTCGATGTTTGCAGTATCTTTTAATACGTTCCTTTGGAGATGAGTTCATTATTTAGGGTTTTGAGCACATAACAGTATTTCGCAATTTGGTGATTTTTTTTTTAACGATTTTTTACTTCTTTGGCATTAAAGTCCGTGAGTACAAGTGAAATCCCCTAGAATATCGGTACATCGAACTTTGCACAAACGTTGAGCGTTTTCATCTTCAGCCGATGAGGTAGGTACATAAGCTTCCTAAAACTTCATTGTGGGTACTGCTATCGAACACTTGTCATTTGCTGAGCTTATAGTTAAAGGACAGTTAACTCTGGTTCAGCGTGTGAATGTGTCGATAGACCGAAGGAACCAATTGAGGTGCTAGGCTAATGCGGCTACAAACAATGATTTATTACATGAGACGATGACACGGAATAGAATGAGCGATTGACGGATCACCAGTAATGGCATGAATAGAACAGAAAACGTAGAGCACTCGGTCGATGAACGTGAACGAATAATATACGTGGACCTCGAATCATCGGATCGTCCGTCTTATATAGTGATATCCCAATAATGGATATCACAGATTACAATTTCCGACACGACTTTCATCCAACGTTTACAAAATGAGTGCCATGGGAACCAGGGATGGATTGTGCCGTCGTAGATTCATTTTACAATGGGAAAGTTGGCTGGGAAAAATGTGGTTTGAGAACGGAGAGTTGGATCCTTGTCGAAGATCCGATCTCCGATGGGAACGGAAGGCTGGAATGTCATCGAAAGATAACGCAGTGTTTATCTTTATTTTTTTGTGTTTTATAGATTCGTTTATGGAGTAGGAAAGTAAGGCGAGGGTCTTGCCTTTACATTATGTATTACGAAATAGGGAGCTTCGTACTTTCTCATAAATTGTCATGTTCTTTTTCTGCTTTTACTTGATTCTGCCATCATCGGAATCTTTTACTCCAGCGGATATTAGGTTTTCCCTTACG